GAATTCCCCCCCCCCCCACACCACTACCACACACACACACAGTTATTGGTAGGTGTAGGGTTAGGTAAGGGGTTGATTAGGCAATTAGGTAGCGATTTCAATTAGGGAGTAATAATTTGGCAGTCGGTCGAAAATGGGCACAACACCAGCAAAAATTAAGCCCCGACTATCTGTCACTCTTCTTACAATCATTGCTTGTTTTAGAAACAACTGGATTTTGTCTCAACCAGGAAGCCATTCTGTGTGTTTCTTGCGTGTTTTCTCCATGTCTGCATGGTCCAAAGACAAAGACATGCACCATATGTACTGTAGGTATGAGTGAGTGTGTCCTAGCACCGAGGTAGCATGAGTTAGTGCATTCTCAGTGCTGGGTTGTGGCAGGAAGAACATCCTGTGTAAAGCATGCTAAATTGGTTATGCAGATTATTCCACTGTGGCAACCCCTGATGGAAGCAAACCGAAAAAAAAGAGAGAAATGTTTAAAATGATGTTGACACTTTCTAGAGATGAGCGTTCTAAGGAAAGCTGGGGTTCATGGCGGCTGCCGTATTGAGCTCACATGACCAGCTGCATTCTACTCACCCTCGGTAACTCAGTAAACCCTCTATGTTTACCAATGTTTACCTATACCAATATGTCATTGATAACTTTGTACAATAGATGACAAGTCCAAGACCACTACTGTATTGATTGATTATAAAGATGACTAAAGGGCAGTAAAAATGACAATGCAGCTTTAAAAATATATGTATGTTAAATCAGAACCTTAAGTATCACTTAAGTATACTACTAGCAGCCCCTTGTGGAGTTCAGTTAGTTCAACCATCAAGCAAAAATCTTTCACTTTTCTGCATGAGCCAGTTGCAAAAAGAAGCTCATAAATTTTTCATGAAACGGACCTTGCGGGATACAGATATGACCTTTGCATAATTTTCTATGCAAGGTCCAAGGCGAAGAGAAAATACTGAAATATCACATTCAGAATTCAGTAGAGGACTCTGGCTTGGGCACAATGCACTTTTTTTTTTGCTAGAGATGTATTTGTTCTTACCAATTTAAAAAACAGATAGCTTTAAATTAAGATAAGCAAGGTACAACGTCAAGTCTTAAAATGCCTATAAACACACCTGAAACTACAAAAATTAACACTGCAACTACACTGATTGGAAACCAAAACAGCCCAGAGTAAATATAATGAAATATATTACTTAGGAGAGGAATTATGTTCATGTTTATTATTATGGTAACACTTTACAATAAGGTTAATTAATTAACTACATTAGTTAACATGAACTACGAATGAACAATTCTTCTACAGCATTTATTAATCCTAGTTAATGTTCATTTCAGCATTATTAAAATCACAATTTGTGTTTGTTAACATTAGTTAATGCACTATGAACTAACATGAACAAACAATGAACAACTGTATTTTTATTAACTAACATTAACAAAGCTTAATAAATAGTGTAATAAATTAATTGTTCATTGTTCATTCATGTTAGTTATTACATTAATGTAAACAAATGACACCTTATTGTAAAGTGTTACCATTATTAACAATAAATGTACCTGTTTATGTGTACCTAATGTACTTATAATTCTGATTGGATGAGCTGTGTTTAAAATTGTAAAACTGCTAGCTGTTATCTTCTTGGAAATTATTTGCTATGATAAATCGATTTATGTTTACCAAGTTAGACTTTCAACCACTGTACACCACATCACCCAACCCGCTGGGAAATTACTGTCTTAATCACTCAGGTGCTTTAACAAACAGCTAAATAGATTTATTATATATAGACAATGCTTTGAAATATGCTTTGTTTGGTCATAAGCAGTAGAATGATGTGCATTTCATCTCTTCATAAAATACAAATAAAAAAAATCTTCTCCTCACGAAAAAGAAAAAACCAACAAACAAAGAAATATCACCGCTCTGTTTGCAAGAGACTAAACTTTAAAGGAGAATCACACAAAATGATTTACAGTCACAAACTGTACAGCAGAGGTGGGGGACAGCAGGGTAAGCAAGAGCATAATAAAGTATTGATATATTTGGTTTATATACATTTCTGTAAAGTGTAAAAAAGGAACATCGAAAGTAAGATGCAGTATTTTCTCGCCGGGACATACAGCGGTGTGAAAAAATGCATTTGGACACTCAAGTC